AGCGCAGAAGCCCAAGCGAAAATTCAGTTTTTTGTTAGTTTTTCAGGTTTAATGAAGGGCCCGGCCCCGGATAGGATTTTTACAATAAACAAGTTTTGCAGCAATTGAAATACCGTAAAATCTGTATTTGAAGGGCCCCCTTTAATAGAAGGGCCCTCCAAGAGGGGTTTGGAAAAATAGAAGGGCCGGCCCTTCTTAATACAGGTTTTACAGTATGTTTTTTTAAAAAAAATGTTTGAACACATAGAAAAATTATAACAGACGAACGAACGAGAGGGAAAAGTATACAAAAGAAAAATGAAAAGATCCCAAAGGAGGAACAAACTGAAACAACCATTCTGTTCGCCGCGAGTCTCTCTTTTATATGTTTCAGAAATGTGTGGGAACCGTATGCGGGAGAGTTGTACCTTGCCAAGAAACAAAAGAAAATTCATCATTAAAAACGATTGCTCCTCCATGGACAACTTCAATTCGATCAACGGTCCAGCCACATCTCTGAGGAGTCTTTGAGCATATTTTTGAAAGTTTCTAAAATACAAAAGTTAACTTTGAAAAGTTTAAAAATACCCAAATTTCCATACCGAATAGCTCTCGAATTCCCTCCAACTCCTTCAATATCCAAATCATTTATTCGAATTCCAATCTCGTTTGAGAGCACAACAAACTGAAATTCGTCAATTTTTAAAAATATTCATTTTCGAATTCCAACCTTTTCCGTAATACACGACTTTCCGAAAATCTCAACTGTTGCCAGAATCCGTTCTAGTCGATACACACTTTTCCAGCAAATTCTGAACCTTTTCATCTGCTGATCCAGCTCTAAATATCGAAATTCAAAAGAGTGAATAAGCAAATAAGCCATTGTCCTTGCTTGTCTTTTCCAGTGAAAAATCAATTTCGATCTAGAAAATCGATTATCGATTTTGAGATTATTGGTTTTTTGAGACGATCGAATCAACCGAAGGCCTTCTTTGAATTTGGCGATTGGTCCGAGACCAGCCAAGCGATGTGCTTCCATTTTCGGAAGTTCGAATTTGAATATTTTGTAAATTTCCATATGGATAGAACTGGAATTCTCAGGGGACAGGATTGAACGTTGGTAGAATTGATACTGGAAATATTGAATTGATTTTTTGGAGAAAAAAACAAATCACCTCAGTTCTCAACTGATCATCGCTGAGTTTGAATGAACTCTTTTTTGGCTCTAATTCATCATTCTCCATTTCATCCAACTCTTTGTCATCCACATTTTTATCAACTGCTGGAAGGTGTTATATAGTTCGTGACAGGGTAGCTAAAGTTTGCAACTGCGTAAGTGGAATTTTGGATAGCCTAACTGAAGTTCACATACCGTAAGCACTAATACATGGCCACCCAAACCTATCTTTGAGCTTATATATTAGGTTGGAAGGAAAGTAACTGTACAATTTTTAATCCGTGAATAACACAAAAACTAGAATTATCAAAGATTCACAGTATGCACCGTCGTGGTCCACGACATGTTGGCAATATTCAGGTAACTTGTGGATACCATTACTCCGGAAGCCAGCTGCGAATCAAAGCATACCTGGAGTGCCGTTTTTACACTGTAAAATAATTTTCCCTTCAGATGACGTTGCATATCTCCGAATAACCAATAATGAAAGTGTCAAATCTGCAGTTTAAGGAATGTGAAGAGCCGTCCATCCAAAGAGTCTTAGGATTGAATTGACTTTCCTTAAATGATGCGAGATCCTAAGTTCCACGGAAAGTCAAGTAAAACCTGGGTCGCTTCAGCTGGACGTTCCTCCTTTACGCCCTTCCAACTCCTGATTTGGCCCTTTCATCATTCATTATTAGGAGATATGCAACGTCATCTGAAGGGAAATAATTTAACACTGCAGATGTGATAAAATGTGGACTCAAAAAATACTTTGAGTCGCAGCCAGCTGGCTTTTGGAGGTATGGTATTCACAAGTTGCCTGGATGTTGTCAACATGTCATGGACCGCGACGGTGCATACTGTCAATCTTGGGTAATTCTTGCTTTCGTGTTATTCACGAATTAAAAAATGGACAGTTACTTTCCTTCCAACCTAATAGGTCGGTTCCTGTGAACTATTTCAAAAAGTGGTTAACTGACAAAACATTCTATGAGAAACATTTTGTCAGTTTATCACTTTTTCGTATATTTTACTAGAATTGAGATACATCAACTCAAAGTTGACGATTTGGGTGGCCTTCTATTAGTTAGTTTACGGTACATAACTGAACACCACAACAACTGAAATGCTCGACTTCGTAGCTTTAGATTTTCAAAGGAAAAGTTTCAAAACATCTCTACCAAAGATCCACCACGATTTTCTATTAAAAGCGTTTCCAAGATTTCCGGTAGCGATAACACTGAAGAAAAGTGAGTGCTGATGTTTAAGAGTCTAAGCAAACTACACACAAAAAATGCAATTTTCAAAATCAACTACCATCCAAAGTCATTCCCATTTTCAGGCACTTCTGAAATCGACAATAACGGCATGAATTCCTGAAATTCGAAATTTTTCATTAAAAAAACATTATGTGCACCTTCGAATCATGTTTAGACTGCATTTTGTCTTATTTTTAAGACATTGGTAGACCAAATTCAGTTTGACAACTCGGCGAAAAAATACTGCACATGCGCGGCACGTCATAACGCCGAAATGTTTTCCATGGGCTGGATAACTGCAGATTTTGCAAATGGTCGGAGAAGATTGAGGAAAAATTGGAGGGTAATTGTGAGGAGTGCCGGTCATATAGACGTCTTTTCACCTGGAAATTAGAAAACGTAAAGAGAAGGTTTTTTTTTGGAAAAATTGAAAAATCAAAAAGGGAATATTCAAAACTACAAAAAATATGAAAGCAAAACCTAAAATGAATAGGCTCAGATGTGAAAATTAGGTACCATTCTATTACAGGTTTTATGGTATTCAAAAATAAAAAAATTCCAATAGTCCTGGAATTTCAGCAAATTTCAAAAATAATAAAGAGTTTAAAAATTCAAAGAAAAAATTTGTTTTTGAAACTCCAAAACTCAATAAATTCAAAAATTCTCAAAAATCACAAATTGCAGAAAAACTGCAATTTCTAAAACTATCAGATATGTATAATTTCCGAATAATCCAAAAAAATTCGAAAATTCAATATTTCACAAATTTCGGAAATTCCAAAGAATGGAGAACTTCAAAAATTCAAAAACTCCGAAAATTCCAAGTAATACGGAACTTTTAGAAAATGTGAAAATGCTAAAAAAACTAACAAAGTTATCAATGACAAATTTTCAAACAAATCGAAAAATCCCGGAAAACTTTTTTCAGGAGTTGACAATTTTAAAATGAAAAGAAAAATCAAAAAATGACATATTTTCGTCTGGTACTGTATTTTCAAAAATCTAAGACTAAACTATCTTTCGTACAACGTGTCTTCTATTGATCATCCTCCTTTTCGGAAAAATATTCTCAAAGATTTAATCTCTGTTGGGATGTATGCCCGTGTTGTAGTTTATGTTTTTGAAGTGATGTATCTTAAAATTTTTGTGACAGGAGCTGGAAAGTGAGTTCGCAACGATTTGACGGGAAATGGGCGATAAATGAGCAAACGGATGAATTGCGGATGAATAACGGATGGTTCACGAACGAAAAGCGAACAAGAAAGGAGAGTACAACAGGTGGGCAATCACCCCTAAACTTTATAAGCGCAATCCTTGCAGAAATATTCCTTGTGACTAAATTCTTCTCAATTGACATTCAGAAGATCTTGTAAAGATTAGAAACAGTATTCGGAGGAAAACACACAAAAGCAAGGGCAAAGAAGAAAAGCATCAACACACAAGTCAATACACAAAATACAGTAAAAAATCAGAATTTTAAATCAAAGTTTTTGAAAAGATGTTTTAAGTAAGCGATCATTATACAAGAGATCACAGTTTCGCAGAGAGATTTTTGAAGATACGGATCATTTTTTCGCAGATCTACGTAGAACTTTGGTGGTGGAATACGAAAATTTTGTAGTCGCCAAGAAAAGGTCGAATGTTCAAAATTGCTTTAGAGTTTGTGACAGCGTAGCTCGATCGTGTAGCTGGAATTCCCGACCTGTAGTTAAATATTACAACCACGTAGCTGGAGTTCACAACCGCTTAGCTGACAGTCACAACCGCGTAGCTAGAGTTTTTGACCGCATAGCTGGAAGTTTCGAGCGCACATCTCACATCCATGCAGCTGAAAACCAGGACCACGTAGCTGGACTGTTCGAACATGTCGCTGGAATTCACTACCGCTTACTTTTAGCTGACAGTCACTATCGCGTAGCTAGATCACCTCGCTCAGTCTATATGAACTGCAAATTTCCTTAAAAGAACAAAATATCTTCAATATCTTTCCGTCAGATCACCCATAACGTATTTCGTTGGACACCCGATTTTCCAACGTTTAGCAGATCTTATCTTGAATCTCTACAAAAGACAGAAATCGAAAAATCATGTACAGTGTTTTTATAGGATCTTCTAGGAAAAAAAAGTTTAATCAATATTCACTCTTCCTCCTCTTATCTGCTTGATTTGCCACACTTCCAGACTTCGATTTTGAAGAAACGCTTATCTGAAAATCTTAGATTTTAAAAAACCTTTCATTAATTTTAAGCTCACCACACTGGTATCTTTTTTGGTAGAAACAAGAAAAGAAAAAGTGTCTTCCACTGCTTTTCTGTACTGCGTAGAAATGATAAAACAAATTAAACAATGAGTTGACGAGTTGATTGCCGGAAATATTTCCCAAATTGAACTCATATCGGCAGCGAGCATGCTAGAACTCTTTTTTTGAAAATTGTTAATTGTTTAGAAAAACAAACTCACTAAAACCCTTGGAACGTATCTGATGAGCTAAGTACAACATAGAGAATTCCGATAGGACATTCTGCAATAATCGATGCAGCTGTCATGAGTGTAATCATTTTTGTGGTATGGTCCGGTTTGGTACTGAAATTTCGTTGAAAGTTGAAAGTGGAGCTCAGAACCGCGTAGCTAGAGTTTTCGGTTCTTTACGACGAGGAGGCCCATGAGAAAAAGGGGGCCCATAGGTAAACACGTGGACTAAGTTAAGAATTACCAGTTTTTTAAAGTTTTGTGACTGTTTCGATTAAAATTTCGTACTTTGCGCTTGTTTCCGTACAAATTTATCACTTTGAAAAATATCAGTTTAGGTTGGTTTTTTGCATGAAAAATAGTGTGTGAACAAAAAAAGACACAAACTGAAAATTTCAAAAAGTGCTGAAAAATGTTAAAAGTTTGAAACCTTCATAGAAACATCCAACCCCCCCCCCCCTTTTGACCTATATATTTTCTGTCAAATTGCAACTCGCGATTTTTTCGCCCAACGTTTAAAAGTTTAATCCTCAGCCAACGAAAATTTGACACGTTGCGCAGTGATTTTTCACGTTCACTGGGGCGAGTTTTCCGACAAGGCTGTTTGAAATAGCGTGCCCCCCCCCTTTTGTCTCATGTCCCCTTTTTTCATAAAGAGCCGAGTTTTCAACTGCGTAGCTGAATCAAAACCTCACTTCACATCTTTCCCTGACAGTTTTCTCCGGTTTCTTCTTGCGATTTCCAACTCGATAATCAATAAAAATGTGAGAATAGGCAGTGCCATACATGAAATTATCTGAAAACAATTTCTACTTTTTGAACTCATAAAACTTTCGACCGCCATTAATGCTTATAAAAGCTGTGAAAATTATTAGAATTTTTCAACAATATTATTTTTTTGATTATACATAAAATTTTGATGTTGAAAATCCGTTATGTTGAAAATTCAAAAATGTTGGAAATCCAAACCTTCAATAATCCATCAATCATTGTATAAGTGCGCAATCCAAAAAATCCCCAACTTTTCCAGAACTCCTCATCAATCAACGGCAAATAAATTCTTGCCTTGAAATTTGGCGGGAATTTTGAAACGCATCTGAGAATTCGAAGTTAAAAAGTTGTTCGATAATTCAAAAAAAAAGCGTTACTCTTTAGGAATTTTGTAAGATCCGTTCATAATTTTCTCATGGGAATAACGAATACCAGTAACCCCACAACTCAACAACATACTGATAAGGATGACAATTAAACCGAAAAATGTTTCAGAAAATTTTTGAAATGTCGGACTCATGGCATTTTTGATAACCACGAAGCGAATTAATGCCATAAGAACGGCGAACCAGACAATCAGACGTCGAAAAACGTCGTATAAAGCTCGTTCTACGATGCCGAAGACTTCAAAATAATAGCTCGATGGCCAATAGCTGAAATTATGAATTTAGAGAGAATTAAATTTTCCGACAGACGAAAAAATTTGGAGCAATATTTTCAAAGACTTTGAATGTGCCTATTTTCCATTGAGAGACTTAGCATACTTCCAACCTGATCTTTGCCGGGCCCTCACGGGTCTTACCATAGTTTCTTTCAGAAGCAATATTTTTAGACCAACCAAATGAAACATGATAGAACTTAACGGGTTCTACAAAATTATAGTATTCGAAAAACGGTGTCTTGCCTATGAACAAAGTTACAAGTCATAAAGTGGCCAGACCATGTCGCGTGGGCCCGTGCCGGGCCTCTCTTTTTTGTCTGTAACTTTGTTTATAGACAAGATACCTTTTTTTTTAATATCATTTTGTTTTCGCATTACCAAATATCATCTTGTATCACTCCAATAACAAAATCCCCCACAATTCGGCTCATATTATAAAAATCACAAATCGAAATAGCCAATAAAATAATATTGATTGAACCTGTCCTCATTGATTTCCTAGTCAAAATAGTCAAATGGAAAATGTTGACCAATATTCCGATACAAGCAAAAACTATCTCTACTTTTAAAGTATAATATAAACATTTAATGAGAAAATTACCGTAATCCACTAGCACAGATGCTGTAGAGTTACTAGAACCATTGAAATGGTCAAGCTTATATTCCGGAGGCATTTAGGAAAGTTTGGTCACAAGGAAATTGATTTTATATGTGTATGGGGTAGAAAATAAGAGACTAGAGACAAAAGACAGAATGTGTTAGACCTTATAATTATATTTGGTTATTTATGGGGGAGAAAAGCTTGTTATCTGAGTGAATTGTGAAAGTTTAAATAAAGAAAATTGTTTTGGTCTTTTTTCTTGTTTGAAATTGAAAAAGTGACAAATTTTTGGGTAAAATTCTCAGATCGGGGAGGATTGTTGAATTTCGATTTCGAACTTCGAATTTTCAACTGTAGGAAATTAATTTTTGTATGAAGTTTTAAAAAATTGATGACAGTCAGATTAGGTGAACATGCATAAATCGAGAATAATTTAATTCAATATATTTTATATTTGTCAAAAAAGTACTGATAATAAATTAATAAACTGAATTAAGATGAATGAAAGCCCGAAATTCAAACTAAAGTCCTCCCAAAGCTGAAACTTGCCCTTGCACAAAACTTGTTTACCGGAACTGTTTGGATTTTCGATTCTGTAAATTTCAGTCAGGATTAAACAAAAATCTACGAACCGCTGTTGCTCCCAAGCCCCGACATTTTTTTAAAAGCAATCCTGAAAGAATGATGTATCGAAAGAATCGCCAAATTTTCAGCCAATCCATTCAGCGCACAAATAATTACAGCCAAATTCATAAGTTCTTGTCTATAATTTTTGGTAAAAACTGAAACCAATAAACCAATTGCAGGAACAATAAAAAGCAATGAAGGAATAGCAGTTTGAACAATGATCCCAACGAAAAACGTTCGTTGGTCTCGGCGAGTTCCAGATGAAATCGTTGTTTTGGGTGAAGCTAAAAATAAAAAGTATACTGTAGAAGCCACGTGGAAACCCAAGTTTCCTAGCCATTGGAAACCGATTAGAGGCAACCAGAATTTCAGAAAATATTGACGGATTTCCGGGTCCGAAATGAAAAAAAATCACGGGAAACTTGAAAAACTCTTCGGTAGGGCAAGGATCTGTTTTAAGAGCTTCCAGTTTTTTCGATTCTTCTGTTGTGGAGAAAAAAACCATTGATAATAATATAGTGAGATTTATCGATAGTAAAAGACTATGGTAGCAGATTCTAGAAACCTTTCGAGTCATTCGAAATCGATTTTGTGGCAGAGCACTGCTCCGGCTCTCGAATAAGTAGAGATAGGAACTGCACATACCTGGAAAAATAAATTTCACCTCAATTACGAGGGAACTACAGAACATAGGTCAAAGACACAAAAATATCCTGAAATTTTCATCAAAATGTGAGACGACGAGGTGTTGTGGCGCCTTAGTTGAGCTAATTTTTGAAAAAAAGGCAAACTCACACACAACTGAAAATACACCAGTGGCCAGTTGTGGGGTAAACGGTATCTCTAAAGAACTCAAAATCCCGACACCGGAAAAGACAGTAGTTGGAAGAAATACATCCGGTGTTGATAGCGTACAAACCATCAAATCGAACCAAGTACACCTTAACAGTTTTTTTTACAAAGATTACTGTAGATTTTGAGAATTCAACTCTCACCAGAAATGATTAACCAGCAATGGCAATTTCATATTTTTCATGGTTCTAGGTGTTTTTGCCCAAATGATATAAAAAGTGAATATTTGAATTGGAGATGCTATGATTTGAATCGCATGGCTGGGATATGCTACACATTGCCACGTGGCAAGCCAATTATAAGACAAATTGCACTTTGAGTGATTAGTGGAATAGTAATTTTGAAGTTCCGGGGACATTTGAATATATCTATTCGAATTTCGAAATTAACTTTTTCTGTAAGAAATAAGTAAGAAAGACTCACTTAACATTAGAAAAAAAAACTGAAAACAGACAGAGCAGTTGAAAATAACCTTTGCGAAATCGGAGATCCGATAATTAAATAATACTTAGAGGCATATAATTCAATTAAATATGAAAAGCAAAGATTTTTTCTGAAATTTCTGAAGACCATAAAAGCCTCTGGAATTCAAAAAATTTATTCCCGAAAAAAACATCCGACCTAAATTTTTTGATCGCTTGGAAAAAAGAAAAAAAAACCTCGGGGGTCGCACATACTTATCTAAAAATTTTCAGAAGGTTCTCAAAATACTCAGCGAATTGGGAACGATATAATTTCCATCGCATGGCTTGGCTAAACAGAGCCAAAAAACATTTGTTTTCAATCTTTAAAGGTGGGAGGACATGAAAAAAATAAATTGCTCGAAATTCCGTTTACATACGCCCCTCGAGGAGTTGAACTTGTAGGGGCGAGGATTGAGGGTGCGGCGCCGCTACCGACTGAGCTAAGAGGAAGCCACCGCCCGGTTGCATACATAAAGGCGAGGACGACCGCTGTACGCAGAGTGACATTAAGAGTTGTACACCGTTACGGTAGAGTGCATCGCGGGTTTGAATCTCATCTGTGATTTTTCGTTTTTTTTTCTGTTTTCATGTGGCGACATAGAATGGCCGAATAACAAGAAAAATCGGGAATAATTACCAAACATTGAAGAAATCTAGTGAAAAATTTTTCAAAAAAACTGTCGTCAAGTAGCGCGCACTGGGTGTATACACGCAGAAAACTATAAAAAAACTACGAAAAATCTCCTGTCCCCCCCCCCCCCCACTTTTAACGTCTGCGCTCTGATTTTCAAATGGTTTATGCATATTCACCTGTTCCGACTGTCGTCAACTTTTCTTCTCATTTTATAAAACAAGTACTTTTTTCCAATGTCCCCGGAACTTCAAAATTACTATTCCACTAATTACTCAAATTGCAATTTGTCTCATAATTGGCTTGCCACGTGGCAAGGTGTAGCATATCCCAGCCATGCGATTCAAATTATAGCATCTCCAATTCAAATATTCACTTTTTATATCATTTGGGCAAAAACACCTAGAACCATGAAAAATATGAAATTGCCATTGCTGGTTAATCATTTCTGGTGAGAGTTGAATTCTCAAAATCTACAGTAATCTTTGTAAAAAAACTGTTAAGGTGTACTTGGTTCGATTTGATGCTTTGTACGCTATCAACACCGGATGTATTTCTTCCAACTACTGTCTTTTCCGGTGTCGGGATTTTGAGTTCTTTAGAGATACCGTTTACCCCACAACTGGCCACTGGTCAGTTTTCAGCTCTGTGTATGTTCGTTTTCATTCTAAAATTGGCTCATGTCGAAAACCATTTTTCCAGTCCTCTGCAGTTCCTACGTCTACTTATTTGAGAGCCGGAGCAGTGCTCTTCCACAAAATCGATTTCGAATGACTCGAAAGGTTTCTAGAATCTGCTACCATAGTCTTTTACTATCGATAAACCTCGCTATATTAATATCCATGAATTATTTCTCTACAGCAGAAGAATCCGAAAAACTGGAAGCTCTTAAAATTTATCCTTGCCCTACCAAAGAGTTTTTTGAGTTTCCCGTGACGATATTTATTCCTGACCCTGAATTCAGACAATTTTTTCTGAAATTCTTGTTTCCCGGATTTGGTATTCACTCCTTTGGAAACTTAGGCTTCCATGTGGCTTGTACAGTATACTACTTGTTCTTAGCTTCTCCCAAAACAACGATTGCTTCTGGAACTCGCCAAGCACAACGAACCTTTTTCATTGGAATCATTTTTCAAACTGCTATTCCGGTTTTTCCTGGTGCCTGCAGCTGGTTTGTTAGTGTTAGTTTTCACGGAAAATTACAGACAAGAACTTATGAATTTGACTGTAATATTTTTTGGGCTGAATGGATTGGCTGAAAGTTTGTTGATTCTTTCGATACATCATCCTTTTAGGATTGCTGTGAAACAGTTATTTGGATTCGGCAAATACAGAGGTTTGTTGGTTTTTTTTCTTCTAATTCCAGATTTCTGAAATTTACAGAACCGAAAATCCAAATCGTTCCAGTACACGAGTTATGTGCGAGTTCCAGCATTGGAAGGAATTTCGTTTAACTTTGATGGACTTTCATTTATTTTTGGAAAACTATAAATAAATTAATTTTTTTCGTTTCATGCATATGCACCTGCCCTGACTGTCGTCAACTTTTTCATTAAATTTTTTTCAATGTCCCCAGAACATCAAAAATTATTATTCCACTTATTATTGTTACATTTCAAAGACTAGCATATCCCAATTCAAGCCAAAGCTGTGCAAATCACGGCCGGCCAAAATGTATAAACGTATAGATAAGAATTTATTGATTCGACGCAAAAGGTTTTAATTTAAAAAAAATCCAAATGTTCAAACAAATCCATGTGTTGTGCAGGCAACAGAATACACGACCTCATCACGAGATTCCAACAATTTTCTGGTGAATTGAGTTCTATTAGCTACGCGGATTGTGAAGCTTCCAATTGGACAAAGCTGGGAGATCATTCTGAAAATAAAAATTAACAACAAAAAATAATTTAAAAAGTACACTTCAATTCCCTCATTTATCGCTGGGAACCGGAAAAGGAGCAATTCGAACGTTTCAAAATCCGGAATCATTTTACAAACGTCTGTTAGCAATTGTACAGCAACTTCCGGATTTTCAGCGTAAAATGGGTCAACAACCAGACGATTCAAATTGACTACACGGATGGTACAGTACCCCATAATGTTCTGTTTGGAATCAAATGCCACCTCAAAAAATGGACCTGTTGAAAAGAAATTGTCCAAAGACTTACTTTTGTATAAACTTGGTGTTGTGAAAACCAAAGTTGCATTCGATTTTTGCGGTCCATAAAACAGACGGATTTGTCATAGACGTTTAGTTGATCCGGGTCTACTTCAGTCCAATTCTAAAAACCAAATTTATCTGTCTTCTTCTGAGAGGTATCAAAAAACGGTTCATTGATAAAATGTTAGTGATATTATGATAAACATTTCGTCAGTTGACCACTTTTCGATGTCTTGCAAAAGGAAACAAGATATATCGGGTTAAAAATTTTGAACTAACTTTGGTAATATATTCGTCCGAAATTTTTTCAGCAAAGTCCATTTTGCTTGGCACGATTATCAGCTTGTTATGACAATAAACTGGCATTTCCTTGAATCCGAAAATGTCGGCGTACTTTTGAGACATATCGGGCGCTGAAATTAACTGTTTTCAAGTCGACTCTTGTAATGTTACCAGCCATCAAAACGCAATTATCCTCGCCCACAATGTCCATCATTGCCTTGAACACTGGCTTTCCGTATCCTTGTCCACGATACTCCTCTTGACAGTAAAAAAGACCAATGGAGTACAATGGGTTCCCATTTCCATCAGTACATCGCGCTAAACTTCCGCCAGCCACAAAATTGGTAGAGTCGTCTGAAAAGCATGAAGCCATAGCTTGGGTTAGCGACAGCGTAGCTGGGAGTTTATAACTGTGTAGTTGGATTTCGCGAGTTTGTAGCTGGGGATTTTAAACCTCGCAGCTGCAATTTACGAGAGCATAGCTCAGTCTAAACCTGCCGTCTTCATGCGCTGCAGATTTCTTTAAAAGAACAAAAGATCTACACTATCTTTCCGTCAGATAACCCAAAACGTATTCATTTCGTTGAACACCCTGTTTTCCAATGTTTTACAGATCTTTTCTGGAATCTCAAGGGAAGAGGACGAAAGGCCGAATGTCATGTACAGTGTATTTATAGGAATCTTCCAAACAAAAAATCCTTAAAAGGCAATACTTATTCTTCCCAGGGTTTTCTTCTAACAGTTTAGCCAGCTCCTCACCTTTACTAGGATCCACCATACAAATAAACCAATAACCATCAAATCCTTTCGCATAAAATTGATAGTCGTATGGCATGTGACCCCATCCATGGGTCACAGCTGCCCAATGAATCAGTTGGTCGAAAACTTGTTGGGGTGGATTTACGACTAGCTCCATGGCTGTGTAGCTGGAGTTTCGACAGAAAAGTCAATGGAAAAATATTATTATCAATTCATTGAGAGTGGAGAAAAATTGTCAAACAAGATGCAAGTCGTAAAAAAGAGGTGACGATAAGAAAATCAAAGAATGGAGAGGAAGTGACGTTTTTTATAAAATAAATCAGAATTTGTTAAAATGTTATCAGTTAATCAACTTTGACAAGTCCGTGGTTGGTACTAGCTGAGGTAGAACTTGCCATATTTATATTTGATACTGCTCGGCTCTAAAAAAATCCATTAAAAATGTTTCCTTATTTTCATACCGAAGTGAACTTTGGTATTCCAAGAACTTTGCAAATGAACAGATTTTTTGCAGTATTTTTATATTGAGACGATAGCATCAATGCGAAGAAAAAGTGTGACATGGTGTTCAGGACAATCAATATACCATTCATGGACTCAAAACTTGTGATGACAAATCTGAAACAAACAAATCTTTCACAACAATTTTTCGAATATTTACATCTTTCTCCTATAGCTTATATTATCATAGCTACCATCCTGATAGGCTGTTGTCCAGAACAGGAGAATTCCATTAATACCTTCAGTAATCATGGAAGCCAGTGTCATGGAAAAAATCATTTTTGTTGTTTGATTGTTTTTTGTGCTCCTGAATATTTGGATTTGAGGTGTTATAAAAAACAATACCATAACATACGTTCTTTGAGAGGCTATAACATTATTTCTATTTCGTTCTGCTTTTCGAATTTCAATGACCAACAAGAGGGTGAGAATTGGGAGTATAACAGTAAGACCAATCTAAACAGGACATATTTTTGTTCAAGCTCAATATTTTGAATAGAGCTAAAATATATGAAACAAAACGCGGCAAGAGATTCAAGATGACGGTATTCGAAAAATGGTATACCTGTATTTGACACCGGCCAGCAGCGCAGCTGGCACCACCGTAACTAAGCTAGTAGCAACGCGGCACCTCCAACGTTGGGTACACAAGTTTAACACTTCAAAGGGCTTTTATGTACAAATTTACTAGTAGTTTTGCTTTCATGTCAGCCGTCTGTTTATAAAAAAAAGTACCGTTACTGTACCTTTCCACATCCGCCTATGTATTGATACAATTTGGAAGACATCATCAAGCCTGACAGAAAATATTCGGGTACTCCATACTGATATCGTGGCTCGGTGTAATTTTCTGAAAAACTACACCTGCAATTTTATTGTGTTTTAATAGTGAAAAACAGCAATATTCAACTCATCAGGAGGATACCATGGCGAATTTGCGTCTTCAATTCTGTCTGCTGCTCTGAAAAAGAAAACGGGCAAAAACCAAACAAAAATAGTTCCTAGAATAGAAGCGATTGCAAATTTTGGTTTGGAAAGTACATCGAATTTTGAATTCAACGGAAATTTGACGACTAGAACACGAACAAGTGATATGATAACACTGAGCCATGCAGAAGAAGGACGAAAAATTTCATCGGCTCTTTGGAACCAATGTTCCATGAATATTTTGTAATATCCATAAATATTGAAGCTGGAAAATTTTTCTGTTTTATTAAAACTTAGGATTCGCCAAGTACCATCGAGTTGAAACAAATATTGATAGAACTTTCGTAAAGACAATATACGCCATATTAGTCAAATCACAAACTGCAACTCCACTCATCAAATTGTTGATAGAGTTGGTCCTCATTAGCTTTTGATTGAGTACAATTAGGTGAAAAATATTTACGATTACACATGGAATGGAAATGTAAAATCTTAAATTGAAAGTTGATCCCGAAATTTGAGAAAGTAAATTAGCAAAAAAACAAATGGTAGTATCATTAATCCCAGTGAAGGCTTCATGGGGCATAGCTTTTGAATAATATAAAATTATTAACTTGATGATAAATTTTTATGAAATGAGCAACAGCTGATTTTCAAAATCTCAGAAAACACAAATCACTGAACTTCTTTCTATACCGAAAAGTGAAGAGGTGGACCAAAAAACCAACAATTTATTGTCACAAGTTTTGAATAAAAAATTACAATTTAAATGATGATTAGGGCTTTTTCA